GTCATACTGATGCAACTTCTTAGGTTTGAGGTTCTGAGTAACTGTGTGCTTGAGAGAAGCTCCGTACCAAAAACATGTCCCTTTAAAAGGAGAAAAAAAATATTCCCGTATCTCAGTTATTCTTGACTAAAAAAAAAAAGAGGTGAATTTTACTAGAGGCTAAGTAGGTGTGTTTCTCAAAAACGAATTTGCATAGATTTCTTAGCTGTATTTTGTTGCTACTTGCTGTAAGTGGATACATGTGGAAGGATAGAGAGCATAGGAAATTCCTATACTAGTTGGGTATAGGTGCTGTAAGTATGGATACTTCAAAAGAAAACAAGTCCTCCATGGGGGCGGGCGTTGCTGTTGGGATTAGAGTGTATTGTAAGGATGATAAAATCCCTTTTTAAAAAAGAGGGGGGTTGTAACAGTGCTTTAAATTAAAATGTTTTAAAAATCAAATTCAAAGTAAACATTGAGAGGCTTTTTACCATTTTATTGAACTTCAGGCACAAAAAGTCTAGTTTACCAAGCTGCTCAGACAATAGGCTACTGTTAGAATATTTCGAACTTTTAAGAACTGATCTCTTTTAATTAATAGACCTTCCAATTAAAAAATTCCTATATGATGGCAGCACAATTGTTTCTGTCTCTTGACTGGGGTTCTCGGGCACTCCTGTGGAGTAATTATCAGTAGTACATGCAGTGCTGTATTTGGCTGTGTTCTTGTGATTATCTTTTTTTTTTTGTACACAGGAAGAACAGGGTCCTGTGGGGTGCTCTTGGTAAGGATGCTGTGTAAGAGATTAACTAATTGGCAGTTTGCTGATATTTAAATGGCGTTTTTAAGGGCAGGCCTAAGTGGGAAAACCAGGCTCTGAAATTGTTGCATGTTGCTTATTTGGTATAGCTACCATGTGAGCGCTGTTCGGTAATGTCTGCCCAAGGGGCGTCACCACAAGTGATAAAACAGAAGAGCTGTTTTCTCAAGCCTTGGCATTGAACAGTGTGTGTCAGACGGTAACTGGAAGCTTTGTTTTCCTCTCTGTGATCTCTGGTATGTTGCTTAAAAGCTCATGGTTATGTTTTCTAGTTAAGCACTTCTCTACCAGAGAAATTAGAATTTTCAGAGATGCATTGTGTTATTTGGAGATGCTCAAGACTATGCTGGACTTGGCAACCTGATCTAATTAGATTTATTTTGACTAGATTACTTTTAGCAGTCTTTCCTAATATAAATTATTCTATGATTCTGTCATTAGTGCAGGAATTAGTAAATGACATATTCTGTTTGGATTCTGAGTGCAGAAATAGGACTCATCTTTTATAACAAGCTCAAGACACTCATCTCATCTAGATATAATTGCTGCTCATACTGTAGATTTTCTGCCTTAAAACTGCAAACTAAACTGACACTTGCATGACCACACCTGTCCCCATTATTTGTCCCCATTTGTGTCAGTCCCTTCTGCCAAAGAGCTTGGATCCACTGCAAAATTATCCCTCTCTAGGGGCAGTGATAGCAAAATATATACAAATTCCTTAACAGTTTTGAGCAGAGAGAGTGAGAAGCTTTCAGGTAGGGTAAGTTTGTATATGTGCAGATCTTTGCTTTAAAACCAAATTATCTGTGTAGACTCTCTCCTCTTCCTGTATAAAGAACAGTAGACAATAATACCTACCTTCATAAATAGGCATTGTGTGCCATTCTTAGAAGCTACAGTCCGATGATCTCCTGAAAAAGCCCTCCTCTGAGCAGTCTGTTACAACATACAGCTTGTGCTAGGCTAGAGCTACGTGACAAAAAATATCCACTGTGAAATTTGATCTGTCTTTAGATAATGCGATTGATTTTTCTTTTTCATTATTTTTTTCCTTGCTGAAACTGATCTTGCTAAGGTGGATGAGGTGGAGCAGTCACGTGTTCTTTATTGATACCGAGTTGTGCTTAAAAATTAAAATTGCTAAGTCATCTTAGACATGTATAGGTTCAGTTAATTCCCACACAAGGAGTATTGGGCAGAGGAAATTAGCTAGTCCATGTCCTGCCAGAAGCACATGGAATGAGGAGAAATAAAAACACAGTGATTAAACTTTGAAATCTAACAAATTTCATTGTACTAAAAGTGTTTTAGTAAACTTGCATGCTCTGTTAATGCCTGAATACTTTTTGGAATATACGTCTAATTTCTGAGTGTCTGAGTCATGCCACATAAATGGTTTGAGGTCTTAGATGATTGCTGCCTAATGTTTCGAAAGTGTATTTTGTTAGAGGACTAACATTTTGTCCAGGAAGAGTTGTTTTGGTTTTTTTTTTTAGTAATACTTCATATTCTTCTCTTAGCTGAACACCTGGCTGAAGTGCCCCATCCTTCCTTTATTGGACTGAAGCCTCAGTCACGCCTCTGTTGTGGACTCTGGAACAGTGCCGTGTCCCTTTTTGACCTCGGGGCTGAATTACCGCAACCCCGTCTACCTGGAGCTGCCTTCAGCACCATTTGTGTGTCAGTAGGTCAAAAAATAACCCACGCTGCCGAGGTCCAAACCACCCGAAGAGGCTTAGTCCACGCCAGAAAGAGACCTCGCGTACGTTTCTGCCTCCGAATGCAGAACCAGCTGCTGGCCAAGTTGTGTGACACGGTGAAGGACATCAGACCTGTGTCCCCCAGGTCCTCCACCATCTTCACAGCCAGTGGTTCTTGCTGTGGTCCTTGCAGCAGACTGAAGTACTGAGGCCTTGAATAAACGACAGGACACTGCCAATAGAGCAGGATTTTGCTTCTAGAATTTTCTTCTGGTGTGACGTATCCTGATAACCTAAGCTAACTGTTCTTTGCAGATTTCTAGGTCTTTCTGATTAATTTCTGATTAATGGGGCTATTAATTTCTCCTGCAGTCTGGCAGTTGCCCGTTTTCTGTGAAGGGATAAGATTGGCATAGCAAATAAATACATTATATTCATTTAGATGATCGCATTGCCCACTGATTGAGTGCCTTTCTATAAACAGGGCTGTATAGTCTCTGCCATATGCTACACACCAAACAATACTCTTTCATGCTCCAATACAGCTTCCTTCCTTGTAAGTTTTGAAAGCTGACAAAGAGGTTCTTGTACTTAAACATTTAAAAATGTGTCGGCTTTCACTTGTGAAAGATTTGAGAGGTGCAAAGGCACTACTTTTGTTTTAGGTAGGACAATATTGATATAAAGCTGTAGTAAGTTACTGTTTTAAATATTCAGAAATTAGAGTCTTCGTCTCTGACATACAGTAACTTTCTTTTGAGTTATTTTGACTAGTCTCAGTACTGATAAAACTTAACAGAAGTTTTGCAAAAATCACATTATAAGGAGGAAGAAGTGGAGGTGCTTACCAAATCCTTTGGACAAGCAGAATGCAAAGAAACATCTTTAGACCTTTGCAGCAGAATTTTTCTTTCGTGTTTGGGTAAAGTGTCATAATCCAACACAGATGCCACTGTCTTTTGGACAGTCGGATTTAATGTCTTGACTGTAGAAAGTTGTGATCAAAACTGGTGCTCCATCCCAGCAGAACTCTTCTGGCTGCCTCGGTTTGTCGTGAAGTCTTCCAAGCATCTTCAAGCCATTTAATCCCTGAATGGTTCGTAATGACTGGCCTCTGTGAGATCTTCCCGATGTCCTTTCTTGTCTCGCTGCTAGTTGGGGATATACTTTTCCTCGTGATAGTCTAATTAGTGTGAGTGTAGCTTATCACTATAAATGTCCTACATCTTCTGGAGAATGCTGTTGTCTGTGCTAGGACTTAGTTGCATTGTACAGCATGGTGCTGCTTTTTTCCTTAAGTAAGCCCAGAGACGAGACCAGTGGCTGCCTGCTCTGTAAGTCTTGCTCACTTGGGCACTGGGTTATATGTAGAAGGTATCTGTTGTGAGATGGTGGCATGAGATGTCCGTGCAGGAGGGCATGAACAGAGTAGCAAAAGCCTTCTTCAGAATATGTGGAAATGGGAAAAATGTACTTTGAAAATCGCCAGAGTGATGTTCAGCCTTCAGCCATCTTATCTTTGGATAATGTTTTGGTCCTGATGCTGCTTTCAGGTGAATACATTTAAATTTTTATTTTGTGGGGAAGGCAGCATGGGTGATTGTGTTGAAATGCCGTTAAGCTGTTTTATACAAGCCTGCACGCTAATACATGGGTGGGAGGGTGCTTAAAACTGAGAAGATCCATCCTCTGACACAGTGTCTGGATTTCTCTGCTTTCCTCCAGAAACCTGCTCCTGAGCTGACCAGCCTTGCTTTGTACATAAATGCGTCGGTTAGTACCTGCATTTTCCAGTGGACAGAAAGAGCAGAGTAGTGGTGGATCAGTTCAGGGTTTTTTTTCTTTCCACAGCATGAATCAACATAGCCACGCAAGCCTTTGTGCATGAGCACATGAAAGGCTTCAGTCCTTTTAAGAATTGCAAGTAAATCCCGAAGTTCTGATTTAAATGAAAATTGGTGTTTCTAGAAGTTGAAACTTCAGAAAGTGCTTAATTTAGGTTGCACAGGTGACCTTGTTGATCTGTCAGCTCTGTTTGCAGCATCGTTTATTAGTGCATTGCAAGAGGTGATAGTTGCGCAACCTCGAGTGAAGGAAGTGTTTTGGTTACATGGGATGGCACAAGACTTCTTCCTGGATGGGGGAGAGATTGCAGCTGATGGCTGTTGCTTTCACTCTGGAGCTGAAAGGAAGGAGTCTGTCTGCAGATACAGAGCACGTTGCTTTTCATCCCTTTTGGAAAGTTATCTTTGCAACCATAAGTTGGAAACTACATGCTGAATGTTGCAAGGTGTGTGTCGGGGGGAGGGTGTTACTTTTGCTAGTGGGGCTACATGGTCCCGTCCGGCGTGAGGGAGAGCAGACAAATTGTTTTCAAGCTCTGACAAATGATCCCAGGCCTGTGGCTGGGCTCCAGCTTCTCCTTAGCAGCTTTTAATGATTAACTTAAGTATTTTTATAGTATCTTGAGATTTTAACCTCTGGTTTATTTTCTCTCTGCAGGTGGAAGAATCTGAGGCCTTTATCCTCTGTCCAGCTTTGCAGTTTGGGTAGCCTCTGACTTCAGACATCTCATCATTTCCACCTGCCAACCTGTCTGATATGTCGGGACCCGTGCCGAGCAGGGCCAGGGTTTACACGGATGTGAACACACACAGACCCCGGGAGTACTGGGACTATGAGTCGCATGTTGTTGAGTGGGGGTAAGTCTCTGGGCTGCCTGTGGATGTCCCTGGACTGGGATCGATCCCTGTAGGATCAGGCATAGCGATGCATGGGGGAGTTCTGGCACCTGTGCTGCGTTAGGCTTTTTCATGCTCCTTGGCAGATGTCTAGCATGGCACTGTCAGGATCACAGCTTTTCTTCAGAATTGCAGAAACAGCAGAATAACCTGTTGTGTGTCTGAAAGTGTTTCTTGTCAAATTTTTAATCCCCAGCAGTGCAAGAACATTTTTAGCAGCTCCCTTAAGAGTTTGTTTTGAAGAATTTTTGCCAGGTAGTCGGGAAACTTGTCCTTTCAGAGGGCAGAAAGTCTGTATGTGAAACAGTCTAACCAGCCCTGGGTGTGGGGCTGAAAAGAAGTGAAAAGACATTGGATGTTGCTTCTGACTTGCATGAGTGAAGAGACTCAGCAGACTTAAATAGGTACATTCTATTTTGTGACTTGTTGCTTAGCTCTCTGCAAGTGACTGGAAAAGACGTGTCTGCTTCTTTTTGAAGGAAGGAGGTGTCTAAATTGAGCTCATGACTAAACCGTCCAAGAATCAGACAGCAGTAATGCCAGCTTTGTAGCTCTGCTTTTGTATAGCAGGGCCCAGACTAAGCTCTGCCCGCAGCTTTGTTGCAGTTCCTGGTTTCTGAAATGTACACAGTCTTCTGAGCATAAGTGATGTGTTTAAACAGGCTAGCACTTAAATTTTTAACATTATGCAAGGAAAAAGCTTCCAAATGTAGAGAGACCGGTGGAAGGGATAGCTCGAGTTTGATGATGTTGAAACGCATAGTTGGGCTTATGTTACCTACTACAGAAGAAATAAGTTCTAGATTGAATCTAACTTGGGCGAGTAGAAGCTCCGTGTTTCCCTCCTAATTCTTAATCATTGCGTTCAGGAGATGTAAGACACTAGTTAATACACCTTGTCTGAAAGGTGAGGCAGTAATTTAATGTTAAGGAGCGGTTTGTAAATCGTGAAATGACTGAGCTCTTTGGAACTCTTAACTTTTTATCTCCACAGAAATCAAGATGACTACCAGCTAGTTCGAAAATTAGGCCGAGGCAAATACAGTGAAGTATTTGAAGCCATCAACATCACAAATAATGAAAAAGTAGTTGTTAAAATTCTCAAGGTGAGCTGGGGATTGGGCAAAAGATAAAATCTGTCTTGAGGTGATCAGGAGGCCAGAAGGTGCAGGATTTGGTCTAAAACGTTCGATGTTCTAAAACTGACGTCTTTAAAGCCTGGCTTTGGAGTGTCATTCAGTGAAATGGGCCATCATTTTGAGCCTCGTAATAGAAGCCCTGCACTTGGTTATTAAGTCAAATCTTTGTCTGTAAGGAATTGCCCTCTATCTTAAAGAAGTCCCGATGTGCAACGCATTTTTACTTGGAGCTAAGCAACACTTCAACAGCTGACTAGAAAATTCTCACCTTCTCTAACTACCAGTGCCCTGGCATACAGTCATGTGCATAGAGGCCTATGAGCTAATGGGATCATTGTCCTTTAAAGCCACTGATTAGATTTAGGGACGGCTAACCTTAAAATTTTCATTTCTGCTCTGCATGTACCATTGCACATGTAATATCCTTCCTGAGTAACAGTCTCCTGGATGCTGGTTATTCCACAGCCTTGATTGGTGAAATACCTTCATTTAGTGGCCCTCAGATAAATCATGGACTTCTCATAGTTATACATTTACCACATGCCAGTTAAGAAGTTTTGGACTATTGGATCATGTTCAGACAGCTTTAAAAAAAAAAATGCCTTCTTCCCAACCCTCATTCACATGAAACTGATGTTTGTAGCTGTCAGTGTTGTATGGTTAGAAAGGAGACTGCAGATATTTGAGCCCTTACTGGAATGATGCATAATCAGGTAACAACAAGATCTAGGTGTTTGAACTTAACTTGCAAAGGCTCCGATGTATTTTGGTGACTTGCAGTCACCTACCATTGTCATCTGGATGTTGAGCTGTCTATTAGCCTCACTTTACTGGAGTGCTTTGTCTTACACTTTGGGTTTTTATTCTTCAGCCTGTTAAAAAGAAGAAAATCAAGCGTGAAATCAAGATCTTAGAGAACTTGCGAGGCGGTCCCAATATAATCACTCTTGCAGATATAGTAAAAGATCCTGTGGTGAGTACGGAAGGAATTTAAAGGGTACACTGGGGTTATGGGTTAAGTTGCTGTGTTTGACTTCAGCTCTGATCTGGCTTTTTGTTTTCCCCTGCTCTTAAATCCTGCTTTTGAATTGCTTAATCAGATCAGCTCTTAATCTGATTAAATTCTTTGGGAGGGCCCTTCCCCCAAAGGTCCCTTCAGCCCCTTGCTCTGTAAGGATGAGATACCAGTGAACTGAGACAAGTTAATTCATTCTAAAACAGTGCTGCCAGGGGCTTTGGCTTTGGCTCTGCTTTCTCTGTCTGAGGGGAATCATAAGTATGTCTGAGGCAGAGGGGCTTCTAGCAATTTTAGGAGTAAAAATGGTTTAATTCATTATCCTAAATGAAAACATATTATCTCAACTTAACATGGCTGAACACTTTTCTCTCTGTTTTAGTCTCGGACACCTGCTTTGGTTTTTGAACATGTAAACAACACAGACTTTAAGGTACAGTGTGGGATGTGAACTTCTAACATTGTCCATTTGAAAGCCACTCGTAATGTTTTTCTGGGGAACGGCAAGTACGTAGGGGGCAGGCAGGTTACTTAATCCTTTCCTTCCAACATAGTAACTGTCTTTAAAGGTAAATACACGTGGGACAGAAGTTTGTAATTAGTCCTTTCTTACCATTTTGCCACAGAAGTTACAAGGTGAGAATCCAGATTCCAAGTGGTATTCCAACCTTTGGAGCAAATTAATCTGTTATCTTGTGGACCATCAGAGCCTGTCTTTTTGAAACATTTTGCTTTTATGTTCAGTGTATAACTATTTATTGGAACCACTTTAAATGTGGACAGCTGTTTCTGTGGCTTTCCGTACTTCTGGGAAAAGGGATTTAAATGTTTCTTTGTCCCCTTCCCTACTGACCTGCCTCAGGAGAAGAATGGCTGTGCAATGCCATCTGGAATAGCTTCTCAATGTTGCAGAGCACTATTGGGGTCTTTTTGAGACCCAATCTGCAGGCATAATGCATTGTGCTGGTGGTGGGTGAGCACAACCTGAGGGAGTTAGTGACAGGAACCAGAATATACTGTCTGAGCAGAGGTGGAAGTAAACTATGTATGTGATTTGTAAGGGGACAGGAACAGACTGAGCAGAGTTGGGTATGGGATCCAAGTAACTTGGGAAACTTTTACTGTTCTTTCAAATGTGTTTGGAGAACCACAGCAGCAGAGAACAGGGCTGGGTTGTTCTAGATTGGCAGGGATGTGATATTTTTCTTGGGTGTGGAACACTGATATGATGTGTTTGTGTCCCACAGCAATTATACCAGACATTAACAGATTATGATATTCGATTCTACATGTATGAGATTTTGAAGGTAAGTTGGTATTTTGCTGTTTTGTTGATTTATTTCTAGGATTTGCACTCAGCTAATCCTATAAAGATGGTTATCATGTCACTAATGGGGGAGAAGAGAAGAGAAAGCCTATGGAAGAATTGGATAGAAAAATATATATCAAGTCAGTATCAATTGTTCAGCTTTGTTTCTGCAACAAATTCTAGTCCTGTTTTTTTTTTGAGGCTAGCGTAGCCTTTGGATACACTGAGATAACTTAAGATCCTAAATCAAAAGTACATACAGCCTCTGAAAACAGAAAATTGTAATATGTTACTGGCTGGTTTTGTGCCCTAATGTAATGTGAGTCAAATGTATTTGTCCATTCTTCTGAAACAAATATTTTCTCCTCAGAAGTCTGGAGGCAGGGAGACTTGTTTGATCAATAGTGCCTAGTAACTCTGCTCTTAGGGACTCTGAAATTCCGTTTTTATGAGGAAGTACATGAGGTGAAGTCAAAACACTTCTGTTGCTGGGCCCTCCCTTTGAGAGGGGACTCTAGAGGTGTTTTCAGTGGCCCGCAAGTCTAGACCAGGATATAACACTGGACAGTAAAGTCTTGTTGTCTAGTTAGACTTGGTATATGTGGAAATACTTCTGAATACGATTGAACTGGAAAGGTTCTTGTGACTCCAGCATCTGTTTCTTTGTATGTCACCTGCAGGCTCTAGATTACTGCCATAGCATGGGAATCATGCACAGAGATGTCAAACCTCACAACGTCATGATTGACCACGAGCACAGAAAGGTAACGTGGGGTGGCTGGAGGGCAGGGAGAGGTCCTACTTTTCTCTTGGCAAACTAGGATCCCTTTTGGGTACTCCTGTGTAGTGGTACTAGCAGACACCTTCAAGAGGGACTGCACTTCCATCATGTGGAGAAATGTAAAATGAAATTCTATACACTACTTTTCTTAAGTTTTTATGGGTTACATGTAACCATAAACAGGGTTGGTAAGGAGAGGTATTTTATTTAGACTGGTTGGTGATACGGGTTTGGGGAGATTATCTAAATAAATACTCTGATCAACTTCAAATTAATTGAAAATAGAAGACTTGTAAATGAAGCTTCAAACTAAGCTCACCTGTAGTGTCGTTCAGCCAGTGGAGAGCTGGAGCATCCCTTGAGCCTTTTTTCTTTGTTTTCTACCATTTCTAGCTTAGATTAATAGACTGGGGTTTGGCTGAATTCTATCACCCCGGCCAAGAGTACAATGTCAGAGTGGCTTCCAGATATTTCAAAGGACCTGAACTCCTTGTAGATTATCAGGTAAGAATTACCAGGATTTATCACTGACTTTATATGGAAAGTCTGTGCCATTTCAAGGCAGCAAACCAGAAATTCAGATATCTAGAGACCTGAAGCTAAAGACAGTCCATTCTAAAATGTATCGCAGAAAGCAGTGGCTATAAAGCCACTGAGTTAAAGAAACTAATGAGTAGTCTCAGGACCTGAGGAAGAGCCGCAGAGCTATCATCATGGATCTTGGAATACAAATGTTGAATTTTTTTTTTTTTAGCAAGGCTGCATTTGCAGTAAGGTACAGGAATGAAACAAAGCCCTTGTGGGAATAGCTAGTACTGCATGAACTTCTAAATTAAGCTATAAAAACATCCCCGTATCTGATGGCAGTTTGCATTATGGAAACGCTGTGGGCTGGAAATAGCAGTGTCACTGGTGACTTTCAGATCCTGGGGGTTCTGAATGAAGGCACTTCCTTGTCTACCCATGTACCTTGTGGAGTCCATTCCTTTTGTTGCTTGTGATGCTTCCCTTCTCAACATGTGTTTCTCAATGATTCATAACATTGAAGTCTGCAGTGAAAATAGAAAAAGGCGCTGGTCTTCAATATCTTTATGGACAAGGACGGAAATAGGATACCTGCTGTTCTGCTAATTGCTGTATCCCAGTTTCAGTAACTGGAACACTGAGCTGAACAGTGATCTAGTGATGAAGATGCATGAAGATATTTCAGTCTGTTCCCAGCGTAATGTGGCCGCGTTTGTATCACTGGGGGGGGGGGGGGCCCGGGGGGTTTGGGGGGTTCGTTTGTTGCACGGGGGGGGGGGGGGACCCTGTTAGTATTGGGAGTCTGTTCTGCTTAATTCATTAGAAATTGAATTGTCCTTCTGGTTTTGTACAGATGTATGATTACAGTCTGGATATGTGGAGCTTGGGTTGCATGTTGGCTAGTATGATATTCCGAAAGGAGCCATTTTTCCATGGCCATGACAACTATGATCAGGTGAGAGCTGGTCATGTACAATCTCTGTTCTCTTAGCACAACGAAGGTTTCCTGCTTACACTTCTGTTGAGGGATCCAAAGAAGAATTTAAGCATTTCTCTAATGGCTTCTTTGCTCAGTTTGAAGCCATGTTCCTTTTCTCAAGAGTGCAAGATTATCTAACTAATTGAATAGAAACAGATTTATAGTGCTTTGTATTTATGAGCTCCTCAGTGGATATCTGGAAAAAGTTATAGCAATAGTTATATTAAGGCTGGTGTGTTCTGGCACGTAGATCAACTATACCTGAGGTTATGCGATGTGGAAAGCCCCTGCCACTATCCACCCTCCCTCCCCTCTGTACAGAAACTTTGAATTTGGTACAGTTTTATATAGATTCTGAAATCTTTGATGTGTTGCCTTTAGGCCAAAATTTTTATACTTTGACATGTGCTCTGCATCTGAACTAACATGCAGACATTCAAGAACAGTGACCTTCTGTTCTCAAACCTTCATTCTGGAGCCCTGCAGAGCGGCGCTTCACCCTTCACATGCAAGTTACAGAGTTTCAGCTCTTTTGACCAGTTATTCTTGCCTTCCTATCCTTGAATATTTTCTTGCTACAAAGGGAGTTAGAGTTGCAAGATCTCAAGTTTTAGTGATGTTAGGGTATGCAGCTCCCTCCTGGCTGCTTTGGGTTACTAAGTTCCAACTTTGAGCAGAGGCACGTTCATGATGCCTGTGATTGTATGTGGCCAGGGAAGTCAGAGCCACGGGATGACCTTGTGGCTGCTGGTTCAGACCACTGACATCAAGTTCAAGCTCCCGAGGGAATATGCTGCTGTATCTTCACGCTGGCTCTGGCATTATCATACCCCCACAGTAGTGACTTATTTTTCTGTTTGTTCCCAGCTGGTGAGGATAGCCAAGGTACTGGGAACAGAAGATCTGTATGACTACATTGACAAATACAACATTGAACTGGATCCACGTTTCAATGACATCTTGGGCAGGTGAGCTAAGCTCTTGGTAGACCTGGACAGCTATTGCTTTGTCAACAGACCTTGAAGTAAACAAAAACTTATGCTTATGGGAGAAATCAGAGCCAAGATTCTTGAGAACTGTCACTTTGTGCCTTTGATCCCTTTTGCCAATGCTTCCCATGGTCCTTTATCTGCAAATGGACTTGAGGAAAGGTTTTTAAATGCCATCTAGGCAATAAATGAACTGCCAGAGCGTAAAGCACGAATGCAAATGCTCTCTACAGTATTCTGGGGAAAAAAGCAAAATGGTGTTTCTCAGAATTACAGTGCAGAAAATCAGGTGCTGCTTAAGATGGCATTTACAGGTTTTTTCCCTCATAGACTTATTTTGTGTGACACATACCAAAACTACAAGGAACTAATGTTGGGAGCATAAGAGAAGAGCAGAAGCTGGAATTTTAGGCTGTAAATCCATTCTGAACTTGAGTCCTCATGCTGTCCAGGGCTGTGGCAGCTGTGCCGCCGCGTGGAAACACGGTGTACTGCTGCTTCATGCTCTGGTACAGCTCAGCCCCGCTGCTGCCACACCAAGCAGCGGCCCCTCTTGGAGACAGATACCTGTCGCAGTTCTTAGTCTTTAAAAAAGTCAATTTTGGCATTGATGTCCTCTGCCTAGCCTGATTTGGGTATCTTTTTTTGCAGACACTCCCGTAAGCGATGGGAGCGCTTTGTTCACAGTGAGAACCAACATCTGGTGAGTCCAGAAGCTCTGGATTTCTTAGACAAGCTGTTGCGATACGATCACCAGTCACGACTCACAGCGAGAGAAGCCATGGAACATCCCTACTTCTGTAAGTTTCAGCTGCTGTCATCATCTGCTGTCCAAAGGGTTCTTCCTCTGCCTCTGGGAAATCTCTATTCCAGTCGGTTGTGCAGATAGGAGCTAAGAATGGCAACATAATAAGGCTGGTCTTTGCAAATAATTGCGCTGGAGCTGAGGCTGCTTGTCTCTGTGGTGGATAAAGTAGGCCACTGCCACCTACACCAGCCGAGGAAACAAAGTGTTATATGCCCGTGTCAGGCCAGTGAATCAGCAGCACTGTGTTAAAACTTTGGTGCTAAACCCATGCTAATTTCAGCAGGTGTCTGGGTACACGGATTCCTGTGTTTTGAGTAAAACCAGATAACTGGTTTGTTGAGAAACGGGCCCTTTTAACTCCTTTTGTTGCTAAATGTGTACCTTAGTGAATGGTATATTCAGGTCTTGGTTTTGCAAGCAAAAATGTAACTTTTACTGGTAAATGTTTTTAAATTCTTGCTGTTTTTCACAAATCTTGATGTTTAGGTTTTTGAAACAGCTGTAACAATACAAAATATAAGTATTTGCTCAGTTATATTCTTTTTTTCTTGCTGCTGAACAGACTTGTGTAATTAACAAACAGTATAGATCTGCGTTATGCCTGTGGCAAATGTTCAACTGAAATGTTTTGCAAGTATGAGCATTAGTAAAGCTGAAAGCTTTGACCGTGATAGTTGGACAAACAGCTAAATTAACTTGTGTCCAAATAGAGATACAGGTTGTACTGAACTTAGCGTGAGGAAGGGCAAAATTTGAAATTCCCCTGTCTGACGCAGTAGCCTTGGGAGGCAGTAGCAGGTTGTCTCTGTTCAGGCGGGTGTGTTATTTACCCGCAGCTGAAAATAAAGAGTTAGCAAGTAAATTGGGGACATCTTACAGAAGACAACAAGCTCCAATAACACTCATTACAACTCACAGGCTGCTGTGGGACATGACATGATTGTAATTTGTGATAATCATTCTGCTTGCTACACCCATTTTCTGGGTTTGGCTTTATGCAATTATGCCGTTGCTTAGCATAGAAAGGAGATCAACTTCACCTTCATTTCCTTCAGCTTTTGCTGTCAAGCAGTCCTGCT